TATATATATAATCACAGGCAGGTCCTAGCGTCCGCATATACAAAGCAAATCAGAATGAGAATACTGTTAACTGCTACTATTCCGCAACATTAGGTCCACGCAGGTGCGGTGTTGCGAGTGCGCGGCGCGTAAGGCGAAGCGATCCCGCAAAAGCATCCACAATATACCGGTTTCGCTAGGTCTATAAAGAAATCGCAAAGAGAAATCAATCTACGGCTATACGCAAGTACGTTAGAGTTTGGGTTACGATGCGCTACGAAGCGCAGTTACTACTATTAGGCGCATCGTCCACGCACTAGCGCTTCGCCCGCCGGTCTCTCTGACAAGACAAGCATAATAAGTCAGCACCTTTGGTTCAAATCGACTAGTTTGTTTAGTGTGTTTACTATTTTTTAAGTGTGTTTCCCACAATGTGTGCATGTTGCTTTCTTATCGTTATCGAAACGGGTATTTAAGCTTAATTGAAAACCACTTTGATTGAACAAAATACGTTCGGCAGTGGATATTCTCTCGCAAGAAGCACAGACGCGTATATTACAGCTACAACGTGCACGCGCGCCGATTAGAGGTCGTTGTCAGAACAGAAAATTTCCCTAAAGTTATTTCTGTTTCTGAAAATGTTATTAATCCCATTTCGCAACAGCAATCTGATGTTTTCTCATAGTCCTAATTTCAGAATGAATCTGACAATATGCGCCTTAATGCAATCGACACGAATCGTGGTGAAGCTACTCGAATACTTGGACCAATTCGTATATTTTGTCGCATTAGAAGCGTGCTTAAGCGAACTATACTTTGCCACGCTTCAAACGCGCGAGTTCCAATCGCGTTCATTTCAGCGCGCATCTGTAAGATGGCGGCGCATTCGCGCTTCAAAAGAGCAGAACGAAATTAAAATTATCTGGATATCCCTGCGATACGATCGATTACAAATACGAAGCTTAACTTCTATAAATAAATTAATTAGATATAATATCAGGAGTTAATGAAGACAACATTGAACATGAGGAGAACGTTGTCTTCATTAACTCCTGATAATATGTATATTTATACATGGACCAATAAGTATTTTTTCTTGCGTTAGAAACGTGTCCGAGTGACCTATAGTTTGCACTGCTTTAAACGCTCGAGTTCCAATCGAGTTCATTTCAGCGTGCATCTGCAAGATGCGAATTCGCGCTTCAAAGAAACTAAACGAAATTAAAATTGTCATGGATATCCCTCCGCTACGATTGTTTACCATTTATTTATTATTAATGTTTACATTTGCTCGCCTTCTCTCTCTCTCTCTCTCTCTCTCTCTCTCTCTGTCTCTCTCTCTCTCTCTCTCTCTATATATATATATATCTATGGAGGGATATCTATGACAATTTTAATTTGTGTATATGGTGCCAGAAAATATACGAAACGCTGGTATGTAAATAACCATACGATATCCTTCTTTCTCACATTATTAAATCGGCGTGCATATCATTTCATATATATACCTCAACATTTTATTTTGAAAATCACATTTTTACATGATCAAAATAACGGAAACGACAGTTTTACATAAGTACAACATTACGACAGTACAGGAATATAATTCTAGCTACAATAAAATTAATCTAATAACACTGACCGCATTTCTCAAGAATTGTCGTAATCGACAACACTCGACCGGTAACACGCTCGCACACATCTCGCGTAGACATATCTTACAGATGCTAACAAGATTACCATGCGGTCTTGACAGACGTGTGCAGCACATGGCGTCTACAAAAAATATTTTTATACGGCCGTGAGACTAGCGTATACATCAACGCCCGAGCACTCGTGATAAATACGATTGATGTATCAACCAACATAATGATTAGCCTATATTACCGCCACTGAGTGTTCTAAGAAAATACACTGATTATGTCAAGCTGTTGAGCAGGCAAGTCAGCAGTCGCAAATGTGTTCGCGGTTGTCAATAGATAATGAGACAGTATGTACTTATGCCTCTAAGATTTTAGAACCTTATCCCCCAACCTATGATCGTAGTCTATAGTCCATGCAGAGGCTAAAGAAAAAGCTATAACAAATATAGGTGTAAGTGTGCGTAGGCGGGGTGATAGTATTGTATGTTGCATTCGTTAGCAATTACAACTCATAAAAGAAAACGCGCTGTTCCTGTCGTAAAAATTACCAATTAGTATCTACGTCGGATGCCCCTACTACTTCTCCAGTACGGTGGCCCAGTGGGCCAACACAGCTGACCATAAATAGAGAGAGATCTAAGATAAAAGTTAACGTTACGGCGTCATTTATGTAACCACAGTCTTAACCTTATTCCTACTATACCAGATTCTCCCTCGCTGTAATCTAATTCGGGCCCAACGTGAACAAGGAGTTATATCCTTCTGGGTAACCGTACACAAAGATGCAAAGCAGTGCTTTCACTGAAACAGAATACATTTTCTTAAAAATATACAACTAAGTGTGCCCGCGTGTGCATGCTACAAAATTTAACACGCCACGTACGTCGGCTGTACTACAAACTCGATATGTAATTTCCCAGAAACCTTACAACGATAATACACAATTGCGACAATGTCTTTGGTAAAAACACGACCGTATAGTACAAGTATAATATTTATATCTATATAATAAAGTATGGGTTAAACTTGGACTAGACATGACTAATATAATCGCAATAGTCTTAGTCGTCGCGACGGATCTGATGAAAGGAAACCTATACATCATCATTACAAATTAAACACACTCCTTATCGCTATAGCTCACACTCTATAGTTCCTTTTCGCAGTTTTTTCGTGTTTCTACATTTGACCGACTTCGTAGCATCAATATCGACCGTCTGGCCAAATTTAAACATTGCGTAAAAATTGAAAAATTCCCATGTGTTTAGATTATTCGCATTCGGTATTCGCTTAATCACATACACCTTTGCCATACAGTCAGCAAGTTAAAACTTGAAAAAATCGTAGAACAAAGGTCGCCGCCGACGAAACCGGGGAAACTGAAGTAATTACTTATTCGCATTAAGCTGCAGTTTTAAGCACCTCGTCAAAGAATGTAGTATAGCAAGTTCCGTTAATGTTTTGTACGCTATTTGCGTACCCATAGCGTGCGAATACTGAGCAATGAACGTTATCGTCACCCTCGCCTTATAAACCTCGTAAGTAAATTCTTAATCACTTTGACACTATATGTTGAGGACACACACAATGACAGGACATCAATGCCACGACGGGTTATAATTAACGAACTAGTAAACACACGCAAAGAAGATATTTATAAAACATTCACTGAAAGTGTGTAATAAACGAGTATTTAAACACAAGTGATGTTCTAATACAACAACCAACGAAGACCAATAATATAAACAAATGCACAAAATCAACGCAGAATACACCTTTGTCGAAAAAAACACTCTGTGAACAAGGCTAAGATAATAATTAAAACGTAATATAATACAGACAACACTCTGGCAAACTGTATTCTAAAGAATACAGACTCGTCACGGCGAAGCAGGCAATTATACCAAGCACCAGAAAATTGACAACTAACTGCGATACACCTGTACTCAATATTTAGGTGTGTAATTTCTAAATCGGCCACCACGGGAAAAAAAGTTCACACTTGAATATACTCGCAGTTATACCCGATAGATAGAATGACTCAATCAATTGCTCAGAGATGTAGAAATTCAACCGTACAATCTACACATAGAAATGAGCTAGGCATCAGATTAATGCTAGAGATGAAGCGATGTCTGCTAACAAGTCGACAATTTCTTGTTACTATGTATTCCTGCCCACATTCGCATTGAATCGTGCCAACTAGGTGCACAATGTAGTGTAATAATGTAGTGTAATAATGTAATGTAATGTAATGTAATGTAATGTAATGTAATGTAATATAATGTAATGTAACGTATATATAATGTTCCCATGTATATGATATTGACTGTTGAGCTAACCATCTTCCGTGCAACATATATACAATTTGTGATGTACACGTCATAATAATATATCAATGAGAAATAATACCAAACTAAACTGGATTCCAAACGCTAGAAAGTTCACTCTTCTACCGCAATATGTACACACACATGCCACCTCCAACGTATATATATATATATATATATATATATATATATACATCACTGGACCTAGTTGAGATAGAAGTACTCGCACAACAATAATTGAAATATATATCTATATTTTTCTAAATGAAGTTTTTTAGTAGACATTTTGCCTATCCCTTCATCGCGATTTCAACTTCGCGTGCATTCGATATCGCGGAGATCGTTAGCGATTTAATACGAGTCGTTGTAGTGAAACGAATAGTCGCTAATAGGGCATGCCTAGCTATTTATATTCAAGCAAAGAATTAAACAACAATTTTTACACATACGAGACCTGCGTAATTATAATAAAGGAATCTTGTTGATAAGATCCCTAGGCGCAGTTATTTACAAATTAGAGTGAGGTAATTCGCTATTAACATTGCAGCGGCTATGTCAATTGACGAATTCAAACAATTATGATGGTCTACCGAGGAAACTACTCGAATGTTGCTAATTATTAATTAACAAGCGTCACGTTCTGACGAATTTTGTAAATGAGTCGTTCAGATAAGAATCAACAATTAATAGAAAGTTGCGTCACTAATGTTCCACCTCTCCCTGTATCAGCCGATTGAGATCCGTTTTGTGTGGTCTTAATGTTGTCAAGTCCCTTCGCAAGCATCAAATCAAGCTCTGATGCGACGAGCAGCGTTAATTTCGTCTACGCGACAGAAAGAAGTTACGATAGAAAAAAAACCACAAACTTTAAATGTTTCAGTCATTGCTCGTAATAACCCTGCAGGTAGCGTGCATGTGTGTATATAGTGGGCAGTCGCTATAATATATCAACTTGTGCGACTCTCATAAACAGGGGTTATTGTAAACCACGTTGTGAACTAGGAAACATATTGGATACGGAGTGATACTGTTAACAGATTTTGATGCTGTTGCCAAGGTAACACTGGAAGGTGAGATGTATCTACATTTTCGCCGTGCGAAGCGGGAAAATGTGACTGTGATAAGGGTAGCGCGGCTGTAATACTATAACGTGATATCGATCGATATTCTATATAATTATGCGAATATATAGAATATCTCTATGCGTGTATGAGTTCCTGAAGATATTCAAACGCCTAACTATGCCCATAAACAGTGTAGCACTCGTGTTAGTCGTGCTCAGGTATCAGTGATCTGGAAGTCAGGATAACTGCAAACCTCTCAAACTTGGCTGGTCATCGATGAAGCAGGTACTTGTAAGACGTTACGCCAGACATCATTCGTATGAAATCTGGACGGTTTTTATTATATTCTCACCGAGGAAGATGCATGTAGTATTACTATTACTTGGTCTACACAGTTGATGGCATGTTTAAATCAGACCAGGAATTGAAGCTGTGCAACACAAGTTTGGTACTGTAAATTGCTAAATGACTCCAGATATATGCAAGTAAGCGCGTTTACTTGCTTACTATTTCTACTTTATAAACTCTACCAGACTCTGCTGGTATAAATCCCAAATGTTTCGATATTTTGACTGGAACAAGAGCCGCATAGCGTCTGGGCTTATCTGAGATCTGTTGCTACGGTTATAAACGTAACATTTACGTCGTGCGTAGTGACACCTTTGATAGGCGCAGAATATGCCACATCTCTCGCAACCTCTTGCATTCTGGACATACTCCCAAATCCCATTGTTGTTGTGATACAAATCGAGTGTCGCTAAACTCCGTGGTTTTATGTGGTCATTGTGACACAAATCTCTGCTTGGGGTCAAGAAGTTATCATGACACTCTCTTCGCATGGCAGACGGAAAGTACATTTCTATGGTCCTTTCATAAAGGCCATAAAAAAGTGGTTAGGTGAACGCGCTGAAACAAAAAATTTTCCAAATCTGCTCCGTTCAGCCCTATCGTTTCTCAGAAAATGCTTAAATCTGCCCTGTGCCCCATTGACAAATCTTGACCTGTGACTCGCAATTTCGGCAACAGTGATGGGCTATTTCCTAACCATGATGCTATACACCGACTATCACGAGTCCTAGGTCAAAAGCCTTTCCAGAATTTGCTGCCGCAATTCTGCATTTCTACCTTATACCTTAAGTTCAAAAGAGGAATTTTGTTCCCCCTCGGTTTTACAACCTCTTGCACTGTTTGACCTTTGCCCCCATCTTTCAACATTACTCAATCGTTTCGGATTACCCCCCACGTTCCCGACTTCGAATTCGTCTAACGTCGAGCGCGTTTTGGATATTGTTGCCCAACTGTTGACGAACGACGCACAGACGGACGGACGCACGGACGAACGGACGCACGCACGGACAAGCATGCGATTCTACAAGCTGCATCTGACTACGTCAGATGAGCTAAAAAGGCTTCATTTACTCGCAACCTCCGTCAATGCAGTTAGTGCCGCTTCTCGCGCGACAAATGTAAAAGTTGAGCTACCTCAACGCTATACGCGCGAGTCAGTTCACGTTGTGTGCACAGGACAATGCTAGTTTTGCCCTGATAACGGTCGCACAGTTAGCGCCACCTATTACCAGCAAGATGACCGTAGCGAGCTCGGAGCATCCGCATGGCGGCGCTAGTAGGGCGAGAACTTGTTGTGATCAATCTTTTTCACTCCATTTGTCAGCGGTATGAAGTTTGGGCGTATCTTTGTCGTGAGAAACTTGGGCCCGAAGTTGTTGCAGACGTCATAGTATCCCATGCTGAGACCCCCCATAAACGGGGCCTGCTTGATGAGAGAGTAGGTGGCCCCGGCGTGGAAGGGAGCGGAGGCGGCGGTGAGAGTGGCGGCGGCAGCAGCCGCGGCAGCCGTGGATGTCGCCGAGGGGGGCGGCACCACGCCGCTCGCGTCAAGACCCGGATTAGTGGCCTTGTACAGCTCAATACTGCAGAGAAAAAAAGCAAGAGAAAAACGGAGTGTGAGAACACTACCTCGAGTGCTGGGGAGGGGAAGAGGGAGCGCGCTGGGGAGGGGAAATGGCTGCTCTCACTAGTTAATTCCGTGCGGCACGTGTTTCCGTCCGTGGGGGTGAAGCCTGAAAGCCATCTCAATCTCCCCCACGCTCGAAAACAGCTCTCTCGTCCGCCCACGCGAATGGTTCCAATTCAACTCGACCCACCAATCCCGCTCGCGACTAACGATTAGTTCCCAACGAGAATCGGTAATAAATCAAGGCTTACCTCCAAAAATCGATTAGAAACCGAAAGCTGTCTGATCGACAACCTGCGCAGCTTTTGATGCATGTGTAATTTAGACATAAACAATCATCTCTTTTTTTGAAGCGGAATAAACTAGTGAAAGCACTCCCCCTGGGATATACATATCGAAACACAACATGCATGATATCTAGCTATGGAAGCATATGGGAATATGCTGGCAAACACAACGAATACTGTCACTGTGTCGGTTGACTCGATTGCAATTAAGCCACATCACCTGCAATAACTCTAGGTTGTTAATTTCCTGCATGCCATTCTTAAAGAGAACCCGAACGAAAATCGCTGCTGCTTCCAATACGCTTGCCCCAGTATAGTTATGATATTTTGAATTTTGGGAAATTGATTGAAAAAAAATTTGGGCCGCTTTTGAATAGGTCCACGATAAGCCCGCTAACATTTTTACGAAATCATTCAGTGTCATGCGTAAGTCCACCGCTCGCATCGCAGGAAAACGATGCCGCCTAGCTACTAAATTGCAGTTGTTGTTTTTTTTACAAATTTAGCTGTCGGTTAAAAATATATATACTAAGCACGGTCTTCAGGCGGAGTCACATTCTGAGACCTGATCGGGAATGTCTCGTCGTTGCAGTCTCTTTTTTAAACAACACATTCCTGACCAGACGAATTAGGATCGCATTCGCATGCAAAAAATAATTAATACCGACGAATGAAAATGATGATAATAATAACAATAATAATCATAATAAAACGCCAGGCTACCGTCCACAGCTCGCAGTCAGCATGTATAGGGGGCAGCACGGTATGTGCGAAGGTTGATATTGGAGCACGACGTCCCGCCACAGTACACAGAACACAGGTCATGCGCTTGCACAATAGTGCTAAATGTGACAGCTCTCCAACCAGGTGCAGAAAACACGTGAACACCATAAGGGGAAGCAGTCAAGTGATCATTCGGATGGACAAGAGGGTGTTGATGAGTTGAAAATCCAACTCTGATCGAGAAAAAAATTGACAAATACATTAAGGTTTGTGCCGCACACTCGAAACAATCCGCAGCGCACATCCTTTGTTGCCGACACTCTACATAGACCTTTTCACTGGGATGCATGACGGGTGGATCAATTTTTCAAAGCGTCAAAATCCAAAAATAAGAAAAACTGAGATTTAAAACTGAACACATTATAGCATGCAGAACACGCCTTTATTCTTTCTTATCCAATTATGAAGTCACCAACCATCTGAAGAACCCGTTCTTCGTTATAAACCAGTCAACTTCTGGGAGGAGTAACATACCTGATTACATCGGGCCCCATAAATGTAACGCGAACGAATAAAGCAATAAGTTTTCGGTGGCCCGCTTGGCTCATCACATAATGCCCAGCCTGAGAACCGTTAATATTTTGGATAGGTCGCAGTAAATAGGTCTATGTATCGTGGTTGCGAAATTTGCGGATTCGGCACGAAATGTTTATCGTTTCAAGTTCAATACGATTAAAAATGCATCGCACAATGAGAGCGAAAGTAGTTGCCAACACCCTCTTCACACATATTTACAGCGATCATGCTATTGGTGTCGAAGGAAAAAAACTGATTACGGAAGGAGAAGAAACCACTTATCGGGCAGGGCAGTCTATATAGTGTAAATGTCTAATGCCTGCAAGCCAACTGTCGCAGCTGCTGCTCACCCGACAAATTTTGGAACGTTTGGGGGGAATTCCATCACAGGTTTTCCACACGGCCGAATTGGGGAACTGCAACATTTATGATCGAGGAACAAGTGAACGGCGGGCAAAACTGTCTCGCCTTGTCGCCATGGTGATGGCGGCGACCATGGCAGCAAAGTGAACAGTTTAGCGTCTTACCTGAAAAAGAAGTTGCGTCAGTGCGCTCCAACATTGCGCGACCGCCGAGTAAACGCGCACGCACACACGTACGCACGCACACATGCACACACCCACACTACATAAACACCGACCTTGCATTTATAAGATACTGTGCCATACTGACGGCCTCGGGTGCACCTGTGATCGTGACTGCCCGGTCCGTAGATCCGTCCTCCTGGTTTGCTATTTTGATAGCTGCCCCTGATAGATGCCTAACGCGCAAGAAAAAAAAGAGAACATGATTATGAGACCACGATGGCTCGCCGGTATCGGAATCGAGGACAACTGTTCCGTGATCAAGAACATTATATATTATATTAGTTATATAGTATATTATACATAGTATATTAGTATATTAACTTACATATAGCATATATGTCACAAATTACTTACATATGACGTACAGCAACAGATAACTAATTGGAAACATATAGCTTTAACGCTTAACTTCAGTTAACACGTTTTTTTTATTATTCTTCATCATTATTGTTGGGTGTTTTAAGTTATAAATAATAGATTTCTAAACTTGCCGATCAGAGCTTATATTCATTAACATGATTATGTGTCCTCGCGCGCAGATTCAATTCTGTTCAGCATTCCTTAACACGGGTACCACTGGGAACAACTTTACACGTAACAGAAATTAGAAATAGCAAATTTTATTGCACGATTTCGACCGAATATATGCGAAAATACAATTTCAATGTCAGCATTTTTGCTGTAGTCACGCGAGGCAGCGTGGAAATTCGTGTCGCCTTAATAAGAAACGAGGGCAAGTTGACAAATGTACACGCTCATTCAATTATGAATAGTATCAAGCTTTGAATATGCGACATATACATATACAATATATAATGTGCAGAATATACACTAATTTCACTTAATATGTCGCTAAACGTTGGAGTATTGTTATATTGTAAGTACCCGGCAGTAATAAGACGCCTAGAGTAACACAGACACGCACGCACGCACGCACGCACGCACGCACACACACACACACACACACACACACACACACACACACACACAGAGACGCACGCGAACGCTGGAGGGAATCTCTGACGATTTGCACGCAGATATTTATAGTAAGCTTAGATTTTCATGAAAGTATCGGGACGTTAACTTCCTGAGATTCCTCCGAGTAATTTACTATTATCTCCACCTGTTTCGATATGAACATTCTAGTTCTGCCCTTGTAAAGACCGCCATGTGCAATGTATCTTCTCCGCTTTACCCCGCCAACCACTGTGGTTACCGTTACTATATAACATTATTTCAATTGATTTCGATTCGATTCGCAATTTTCCATTCAAACCTGATTTCGTTGATCTTTGCGCCGCCCCTGCCAATAATGCATCCGATCAAATCGTTGGGTATGGTCATTTCGTGAGACTGCGCTTGCGTTGGCAAGCTGTTGGGCATCGGTGCTGCCGGCCGCTGCATTGCGAAGTTACCTGACGCGGCGGCCGCCAGCAGCGCTGCAAGAATCAGCAGTATTGTAACGTCGCAGCATTACACACATAGCAAGCAAGATTCTACGTAAAGAACAGCATGTTATATAATGAGATATGGAGGAGATAGATATGAGATAGAGGGGTGATAAAAGAGAGAGAGAGAGAGAGAGAGAGAGAGAGAGAGAGAGAGAGAGAATGATTCAGGAAGGGAGAGAGAGAGAGAAAGAGAGAGATGTGCAACGTGCAAATTCATAAAGGTATATATAAAGATGGAAGAGACGTTACACAAATGGTATATATCAATAGAGTAGGCGATACCGTTTCACATACATGCGATAAACACAGCGATACATAATGGCAAATATTTACATAAATAGGTTTCCTTAAATTATTTTTGATATTACGCATAACATTATAAAACTTATAATGTATAATTATTATATATATATATATATATATATATATTTGAACAGCAGACGTACCTGCAGGGATGGCGCCACCTGGCAAGGCTTGAGCACCGCCTAACAATGGCGACAACTGTCCCATATGTTGTAGATGAGCCATCTTTGCCATTTGCTGTGAAAAAGGATATGTAACGCATTCAAGCCCGACCGCACTACACTCTATTACCGTTTAACTAAAATAACGTTAGTTACACTGCGCGAATGAGTAACACAACCTACTCCGCACATCCTCCATTTCATGTTACAGTGCCTGAGGAAATAACGCATAGTTGGACTGGCCCGACTCCGCTACACCTCACACAATAGTAAAGATAAAGCAATGAATACGATAAGATGACGAGACGAGACGACACGTCGAGCGACAAATAAACGCCTAGCTGGATGAGATGGAATTGTAACGTTATAGCGAACGGCTATACGGCGTTTGCTCTGACTCTCTTGGCGACTACGGTTATATTGCTATATGGAAAGGTTGAAGAACATACCCCCCCTAGTGCTAACGGCTACCGGCTAACTATAGCATTTCCACTAAACAAACTATAAACGCTTGCAGTAACCTATAACCACCTAGTGAGCAGTGGCGAACAAGAAAACTATATTTAAAATTGTTTACCAGAAATAGACATGTCTATTGATGCACCATAATCCAGACCTAACTACACTAATATTTGGCTTTCGGGACGCAAAATGCTTAAAAAGAGCAATGACACAATTAAAAATCAAAGCCGCCATGATATTTCGTTCGGAACTATCAAGTGGAAACGAAGGCTAAACGAAGCCAGCTTTCAGCACGCACAGACAGTGACAGTCGTGGAGTATTGTCATGAGATGCAGGCTTTGTATCATTAGGCTTACATCGTGAGGTGAGGCTGGTACTGGCATATGTCCTGTCATCGTGTATGGCTGACCTCCAGCAAACATCACAGGTGGCACGTTGGCTGGCTTTGGACGGTAAGGTATCGTTGCCCCTTTTGGAGGTGACTAAATCATATAACACATGATTACTAATATTTATACTTTAAACAGTATTTGACATTCAATCACAGAATGCTACAGATTAGTTTGACATCTTGCATAGAACATGGGGAGCATAAATAAGTGAAAGCAATAATCTTCAGTCAAAGCCTACTGGACTCGAAATTGTGAAATAAACTGACAATAAAAATACTATAGACCTAATCTCCTATAAATCTGTAACGAGGGAAGCAGTACCCCATAAGCGTTAGTTTATACAATACACATGACGTTTTTTTGCGACACGCATATGCGTCTCTCAATCTCACCGAGTGAATTATTGTTACATGCACGATGTTTCGCAACATGGTGTATCGAGTAGCTACACATATGCATGAAGTAGCTACGGGGTAAGTCATGAGATCCGGGGTAGTCATGAGCTACGGGGTAAGTCATGAGATCAGTCATTAAGGAAAAGCTACCCGTTTTACGCGCGGGGCGGGAAACATCGCAGGTTACACGCTGAACAGGCTTCACATAGATAAGCTCATCTCATTTTTCATGCCCTGCAGCAGCTGTAGGATCTGCGAGATATAGCCTAGGAACAAGAAGTGGCAGTAACATGATGCGTAGGTAAGCGTCTAATGCACTTTTTTTGTACACAATAGAAAGGGAATTGGTTTAGCGCTGATGCTGTTGATTGCCTGGACCTGTATTCGATGGCAAGGAAAAAAAACGCCTCCCGCATTATATGTAAGTCCCATTATGCCCACCATGCGCATAAGTCCCATTAGGCCCATGCGTGCTTTATACGAACACAGATATCGAGTGATATCACGGAACAGCTTGCCTCGGAGTTTACCGAGCCATTCGCGAGTGTGCTAGGCGCGCGCGCGCGCACACACACACACACACGCACGCACACGCACACGCACACGCACACGCACGCGCACGCGCACACACGCACGCACGCACGCACGCACACGCACGCACGCACGCACGCACGCACGCACACACACGCGCGCGGGCACGCACATACACACGCCTACATGGTACTGGCCTGCCTGACTACCTAGACATCCATCCGCCCAATTATCCATCCACCCACCGAGACCCAGCCCCACCCACCCACGCACCCATCCCCCTTTCGCCCAACCACCCCCATCCCACTCATCTAATCACCCACACAATCACTCAGCCCAGATGAGATCCACCCACCTACCTAGCAACCAGCACGTCTGTCTATCTATCCGGCTGCCAGCCCTCCTGCCTATACCTATCTACCAGCACGCCCGCCTGCCCTGCCCGCCAATTCAGCCGCTTTCCCCGCCCGTTAGTCTGGCTCATAGGGTCTATGTCCCCCAGGGTACTGCCGAAACGTACCCTGGTAACTATCGGATATGGTTAGGGTTAGGGTTAGGATTAGGGTTCGGGTTCGGGTTAGGGAGTAGGCGTAGGCGACTCCCTAGACTCGTTAGTGGAGTAGGCGAGGTACGGTCCGGCATATTAGATAGTACCAGGGTACGTTCCGGTATACTGGACCATACTCAGGGTACGTTCCGGCTGTACCCTGGGGGACATAGACCCTCTCAGCGTTAGTCTGCGCGCATGCACTCCTACCTCTAGCATGACGCAACAGATGTGATAGACACATTGGGTGATGGCATCAGCAGTGCCGGACACCGTGACGGCTCGCTCCGTCGAGTTGGGAAGCATCTCACTGGCGACCTGTATCGACGCACCAGTCACCTGTGCAACACACGTAAACATAGAGCACAGACAGATTGAGACATACATGGAGAGAGAAAGCGCGCGAGAAAAGATGAACAAGAAAAGAGACAGGAAGCGAGCTTGAGGGAGGGGGGAGAGACAGACAGGGGTAAGGAGATATATAGATAGAGAAGATCTGGTAGCATGTGTGGACGTGTGCTGCCATTGCGCGTGGCATAAACTTTACCTAGCAACCGATAATAGTCTCATATGAAACTTTTCCATAATGTGAGAAGCTTCTACAGCATACGATATCCCCTGAGAATAACATAATAGTCGACTAGAGTGTACGATGACACAGCCCATAGCAGGATATTACCCTTTGACTGCATTAACACTACTCAGAGGGCAAGAATACATCCACGAATACAAAAACAGGCCGCATAAATACTCCTTTGGGATGCAAGTCTCTGCGTTTAGCGTCGGATACTCATCGCATAAGAGCTTCATCCGACCATCAAGTCGTCACTGCGACAGGTGGTCTCTCTCTTGCTTACCTCTCGGATTTCTTTGATCTTGCAGCCGCCCTTGCCGATAAGCGAGCCGCACTGGCTGGCTGGGACAATGAGCCGGATAGTGACGGGCGGTTTTGGAACGTTGCTGTTTGGACCACTCAGTATATCCTTCGAGCAACGAGAAAGAATATAACAGAAAAACGCCAAATTAAACAAGCTTTTGTACGTCTCCTTTTCATGATTGTCATCCAATCAGCAGCCGTGTGACAGCAAATTATTAGGTTCCTTTTCACATAGCTACGATGCGTTTCTGCTAACGCTATTCTCGTAACATTAACATTAGCATTAGTCGGAAGTGCTATCTTAGCATTAACATTATCATTTACTTTACGATGTTTCTGACAACGACCCCAGCTGTCTCAGGTATGATTGTCAGATTCTGAGATTGGCTGCATATCATTAATTCCTATTAATGCATATCATTAATTCCTATTAATGCATATCATTAATTATTAATCAAAATTAGTACAGGTGACTGCCACCACTTGTTTTCGGATATCTTGTTAACCCTTTCCCTCGTGAATGTAGGTATAATCGGACAGTTCTGACATACATTTAAGCAAGTCTTGACATGAAATAAAGTAAGTAATTATCGAATAGATTTAATTAATTGAACAGTTGATAAAGAACTTCATCATTAAAACTATATTCATCTGTCAACACAGAAATGCAGTAATGGTAAAAATTTCAAAATGCATATTAGTGGAGGCTTACAAATAGTGTCAGAAATTCTATATTCACAACTATTACGTGATTTATGTTGACATTTTCTAAATTAGTAGAAGTGCAGGAAATGTCCAGATTGCTCGTTACACGCATTCTGACATTTTCCTAGACTGTTTTCAAACCCCATTTGTTCTGAAGGCGTCGAAAGGCGTCTATTTTAGGGAAAAGGTCAAATAGTAATAACAGATGAAAACTGCAATAATAATACCACACACAATAACAGCCACAGGGCGTTTCTTTTTCATTTATTTAAGAGGAGAATGATTGCAATATCTTATAAACAACTTTTAGATTAAGTTATAGTATGGACGAATTTGTCCTCAAATATTAGTCCGTTTGCGTTAGCTGCGGTGGTTCTTAGAAAAAATATTCGCTCGAACGAACATTTTTTCACTCATGTTTCTTTAAAAGTTCCGTACGTTGACCTGTCGCATGAGGGTTTAGTCTACACTCTCACCACTAGTGCATGGAAGCACCTCTTCGCAGGTTTCTCTTTGTTTTATGATCCGATAACATACTCACTTCTTCTAGCTTTCTCGAGATCATTCCAAAAGCTTTGTAGATGGTATCGGCGTGACCCGTTACCGTCACGATGCGCTCCGGGCACGAGCCGTCTGATATGTTGATTTTTGCTCCACTCTGCAAAGCAATAGTAAAAGGAAGTGAAAATGTTTTCGACGCCTTGTTCACTCGTTGCGTTTCTCGTGCGCGGCTGCAATTAACTTAATTACTGATATAAAATCAGTTGTTACCAACACACTAATCGCACTATCGTCATTTCAAACACGATGCAATGAGAGATAAATGAAGATACACAATCCCGTATGATAAAAATTTAATTAATGCATACGCTAATGAATCGTGCGACGACTATGGTTTTGTTGCAAACGCCGAGAGGAATTAAATCTAGCGGCGGGAAATACTGAAAGATATTGATTACACGGTTGTAGAGAAAACGAGCGAATTGTGATCGCCTCAAAAGATACCACTCTCACGAGATGAACCTATTATTAGAGGAAATTATTTTCAGGGTGTTTTGAAATCCTGCAAAGCCGAGTAGAGAGAGCGAGATACCGATTTCACCTAAAGACCACTTTTTCTCTCAAGCAACCCTATTTTGCGCAAAGTGATGTATGTATCACATAAACCTATCGGGGGATTATTAAACGATAGACGTGCAGGCCCACAAGATGTCAAGTATTACAATTAAATGCAATGTATGGTTATAATTTAGTTAATTATAAAATTTAAATGTGAATAATTTGTGAACGTATCTTTTCCCGTGTCTATATGAATGCATTATACATGTATTAAATTTACGGCCGACTAATATAAACGGCGCCCAGATATACTGTGTACGCGTTTATGCGTGTGCGCGTAAGTCTGAGAATGCGTGTGTGCGTGCATAATGTGTGTGTGTGTGTGTGTGTATGTATATATATGTGTGTGTGTGTGTGTGTGTGTGTGTGTGTGTGTGTGTGTGTGTGTGTGTGTGTTATGAATGTATGTGTGTGTGTGTGTGTGTGTGTGTGTGTGTGTGTGTGTGTGTGTGTGTGTGTTGTGTGTGTGTATATATGAATGTATGTGTGTGCGTGTGTGTGTGTGTGTGTGTGTGTGTGTGTGTGTGTGTGTGTGTGTGAGAGAGAGAGAGAGAGACTGTGCGTGTGAGTGTGTTTATGTGTAGTTTATGCTTGTGTGTCGTGCGTGGCGTGCGTGCGGCGCGCGTGTGTGTTCGTGTATGCCTGTTGTGTGTGTGTGTGTGTGTGTGTGTGTGTGTGTGTGTGTTTGTGCCCCGCGCGCGCGGTGTGTGTGTTTGTACGCCCGGCGCGCGTGTGTGTGTTTGTCGCCGAGCGTGCGTTCGTGTGTCTTTGTGCGCCGCGCGCGTTTGTGTGTGTTTTGTCGCGCTCCGCGGCGGCGTGTGTGTGTGTGTGTTTGTACGCCCGCGCGCGCGCCGTGTGTGTTTGTGGCGCCCGAGCGGCGCGGTGTGTCTAGCCACGCATGTCAACTAACAAGTGCCGCAGAGCGACAGCGCTCAACTGACGTGTACTGTAGCCAGGTATTCTTCTGACAAACCACTGGCAACGGCGAATCAAGTGCGCCTCCCGCCACCGCGTTCGCGCTCAGAGGAGCATATATCTAGGATACTACTAATACAGATCTAAAATCTATGATAGGCTTTGCTATACCTACTGGTAGTACAGTAATAAATAATACAGTTGTGCAACTTTAATGACTTTGCAATATTAACATGTTATCATGGATATGCATCGAGCGCGAGCGTAGTGGTGGGAGGGGCGGGTGAAAGGGGCTCTAATAGCAAAAGCAGTTCAGTCCTTTGTTAACAGTCAACAAATCCATGTTTAACCCTGCTCATGAGGGTCAAAAGGTCATCAGACACTTACTCTTCGCACGTCCGCGGAAAGTACATTTTCATGGTCCTTTCAATAACGTGATAAAAACGGTAGGTCAGCGCTGAAGCAAAAAAGTTTTGCACTCGGTCCGTTAGACCATGTCCTCAGAAAATGTCTGCTATCTGACCTTTCCCCCACTACCCTTTGACCTGTGACCTCCAATTTCGCGCTGGTGATGGGTTTCCTCCCCATCACACTTTACATCGAATATTAAGAGCGTAGGTCGAGCCGTTGAAATTTGTGAGACATCCTGAGTCATTTTCGCGATCCCCCCGAGCTAAAAAGCATCGCAAAAAAAATTGTTTACATCACAGCGAGTAAAGATTAAACGCGAATTCGCAAGAGTGATACATTACTGGAACCACGACGGGCGTGGGTGGGATGAATCTCTGTTGCTGCAGCAGCTGATCGAGGGATTCGACATGTGAGCGTAATTGCGGCAGAGAAGATTCTATACTTTGAAGCATGCATCGCGTCGTTCCATAATTAAACACTTCACCGCGGCGGGCAACTCGCCATGGTGGCCTCTCGCGTGCACACACGCAGCAAAAACTCTTCGTAAATTCAGTTTCGGGGACAGGAGTCGGGCAACTTTGGTAATAACTTCATCGAGGCCGTCAAATACGTTCACTACATCGTAGTGCTGTCGTGCGAAATTACGAGTAATTCACACTGGCGAAGAACACTGATGACAGTTTGCCTACGTTAAGTGGAATGTGTATTGCGCACCTTGATTTGATCACAACGATTACAATTTTACATGTTTAATGTTAATGTTAAATTTTTGATGTTAACCTACTCTAGGAGCGCTCAGCACTAGCTTGCACCAACACAAGTTAGCTTTGTAATAATCCCTACAAGGGTGCGACACGTGAGAGACAAGGGGAGGTCCACGCAGACGTACACCACACTGATGACGAAAATCACACTCGACGCTTTCAACCGAAATCTCTAGAGAATATTAGAAGTAACACGCTAATGGCTCCAGCTAAGGCACTAGAAATACTGATTTTCTAGCGGCCATCGTTAATTATCTGCCAACTGTTTTTGTTTGTCAAGTGTAATTACGTAGATATCGAATTAATTAACCTAGTATAAAACCTAGCGACACGGGTCGTTTAACTTAAGCAGCATCACGTCATATGTTATTTTAGTCGACAAATATCAGTCAAGGTAACAAGTGAAAGTTGCACCACGAATATCCCAAGGTGACGACTGCCACGAGTCTTATGACAAGCCGCGCACGCCGGGCGCGTGGCTCACGCGTGGCGCGCGCGTGATACAACAAAAAAAGAGAAAATATGCGACGACAGAGAGAGAAAGTAATCACCTACACAAGGCGACACTATGACATTTTAATAACTATAGAAGGGCATCACACCTTGATGTCGCATGCCGACTGATAAAGAACAAACAACGAACGCCGCCGACAAATGTGAACTATGTTAACTATGAGAACATGAATCGAACTGCCGCGATTCCCGAGGACTTCTAGAAGCTTCTGCTGCCGTTCTCACGCTAGAGAAGGAAGTCTCTCACCTTCAGTTGTCCATAAAATTCTGGAGAAGGACACAGGATTGCATTATCCGCACGTCATAGGCTTATTTTAGCCCATGACGACATTATTGCACCATCCGCACGCAACAAGGCCTTGAGGACACTCGGGCCAGGCATTCCTCCAGTTACATAAATACCAAACAGTTTCGACAGAAAGGCAGACACAGTTCCACGGTGCTGACAGATCCCGAGCTGTCAGCACCAGGTTCCGCTGATCTCACCTGCTGGAGATCACCACGCTACCGTCGCTGCTGGACATCACTGACTGAGGACCTTCCTACTGCCTGCGACCTGCAGGACTCTATACGCTCGTAAATATGAACTGCATTTGTAAACCAGTCGCTTGTCTGTATGTGCCTGGTGTATAGGATATGTATTGTATGTATTGTATCGTATTTACTGGTTGGCCTGCGCAGCCATCTATGTATTGTATGTAATTGCCAATATGATGTTGTTCATTAAAGAATAGAGTAACTGTAGTAATTCTGTGGTTATAGCATTATACTGTCTGTTAATATAATGTTAATATAATATAATGTTAATATAATGTAGTTATGTGGCTTAAGTGCAATAGCACACGTTGCTGTTGTACAAACGAACCTGGTTACACACTATACGATTACACGTGTCTATTACACGAGCTCAGCTATACAAGCCTATTCTACAAACTCGTGACACAGCAACGTACACTGTCACCAGATGAACGTTCTATAATTAGAGTTGATAATTATACATTTTACCGCAGAAAATAAAATAAAAACAACCGGACACTCTTAAAAAACAGAATACTTTTGACACGCCACACAAAATGCTCTACGCACGACTAACAAATACGACGGGTTTCAACGAATATTTTACATCATAAATATCGATTCATAATGCTAAATATAACCATCATCAACATATTTCTTTAACATACTGTCCAGGCATCATGCACTCACATTGGATTCATCTTTGAGCCATTGAGAAGCTTTAAAGGAAGCTCATTTATACAGTTATTCATGATCTGGGGCGCCTGCCTTCTAAATGAGGAACAGCTATTCTATAATAAACATCCGCCTGTATTATGATGTACTACGGCTAGTGCAGAACTGTTGTTATCGATGATTCAGAGCAACGAGTCAGAGATTTTCCCATTTTGGCTGGCGACTAGACCGCGTGACGTTGGTAATAGTGTTTGGGGCTTTTCAACGACAGTTGGGTCGTGCGAGCAGTACTGAATGAACGAAAATCTACTACAGTATACGAACGCTCATTATACATGATTCGCGCACGAAAATAGACAGCGCTGGCTGTGCGTGCAACGTTTTAGCTAGCTGCATGTAAAGCTGTCGCGCTACGACTAGAAACGTCGAGAAACCTACAGACGCCACGCCTGTCATCTAATTAAGCGGCGTGACATCCCATTTTCAATTACTGTGACTCTCAAACGCGACAGCTCGGTCAGGCGTGTACGATGTTCTTATACAGCCGATTCTCTATGTACCATCTGTACACACTACGCACGTTCCTATTACCCTGTCCCGTTCCCATTAAAATGACAGACAATCGCTTTAAGACTCCCTTTACACGAGTGATAACAATGGTCCTCGTAAAACCTTCGCAATTTTATGAGAACTTTAAAAGTCTACCTACGATTAGTTTAGGCCCTGCAGGCCGTAACTTTTTTCA